TATCAGCTCCATAGGAATACCGATCCTGTGGTTTTCATGTCTGTAACACTTTCCTTCTCTGCCTCACCCTCTCAACTGTAAAACATTTTTTTTCTGTTGCTGCTGTTCCCCTGAGGCTTTAATGTTTACACAGCTTTTTCCATGGCTTTGCTTTGTAAGGACACAGCCCCAATTAAAGCTCCAATTCTGCAATATTCATGGAAAAAAATAGCACGAGTTCAAAAATTTCTTTGAAGAGGCTGATTGCTGTTAACCAGCCAACAAGTTAGTTAGTATATTGCTGATTCTTGTTTTCATCTCTCAGTTTGATTTCATCACTGTAGCAATGAGGTTAGCCATATAAAACTTTTCAAATGAGCAATTTCTGGGGGATAAATATTTATTAAATTGCCGCTTTTGAGTGCTGGAATCTGAAATATTTTTTTTAAATTAATCAAAATAACTCAAGAGTGATAAACGTGTTCTGGGGATCATAAGGATGAAGGGCTCTAATCAAAGCTGTTGAAGCAGCAGGGCTCCGATATACCACATTGTAAAGGGGTGGGAAAGAGGGTCCTGGAATCTCACTTAAATCTTCACCTGTGGGAAGGAACCTTTGTAATAAACAGCAGCTCATCTGTCTGCAGCAAGGCAGAAAAAGGTCAACGCAACGGCTGTTAGGCCTTTAATATTTTAATTTAGGCAATTATCAAGGGACCACATGTAGAACCTCTTGTCTACAGAATCCACATGAGGGCATGATGATGACTTTATTATCCAAATGACATAAAAAGATACCCTAGCAGGTGTACTCCCTTTCTTGAGTAAGAAACACTGACTAGTTTTTATGACGTTGGGTTTTGTTCCTTAAATGTGCTTATTTACATGTTTGTATTTATATATTTATACATTTATATTTCAATATTTATATATTATTTCTCATATAATTATGTGTCTTTCTATAGCATACTTATTCATGCATAGAGGTAGCAGCACTTCTGCAGCATTTTTATCACGCCCCATCCCCATGTGCTTTAATCTAAGCTTAACTGGGCCCCCCACTATCCATATCAGGTACATTTAACATTAGCTACTGATGAGAAGGTAGTTCAGACATGTTATGACTACAGAAGAAACACGCAGCGTATTTCCCAGCTCCCCTTCTCACAACTGCTAAACCACCCTTCCTCCAAGGATGCCTGCCTATGGGTAGTCAATGCATTCAAGCCAAAAAGAACTAATTTACCTACTCAGTCTCGGATAAATCCCTTGCCGTTACATTTTTTGTAATATTAAATACATATATAAGATGTGAAGGTATGACATACACACTCCACACATACTTGAGTTATATTGTGACTGTCTCTAAAGTAGCACTATAAAGTGCTTACATGTGTTCAGGGGTGCTTTTCACAGACATACATGTGCATCTAAGTATGTATACATGTATGTCATATTTTGACAAAGAAAAAAACACACGAAAGGTGCATAATAGAAACTGACAGCAAGCAGATTAGTTGGACCTTAAAGTTAATGGAAGGCTTCTGAAGCTACTGACTACATGCTCTGCCTGCTCTGTTTCTGTCTATATACAACATACGTACATACCACTACGTAATTTTCATCTTTTCCTAAGTATGATGTCCTAAAAAATGAAAGTCACATTGAGAACTTAAAATTCTTTAAAAGCTACTGCATAATTTCCTTTTCTAGAAGAAATATGGAGTCCTCTGTAGAAGTTTAATTTTCATAAAATAAACTCAAGATGGTAAAAAAAAATGACAGCAGAAAAAAAAATACATTTCCCATCTTCAATTCTCCCTGTGGTGCTTACATTTTCAGACTCTAGTAACGGTAGGTGATTTTATAAACTATACAGTGTGACAGAACTTAATGAATATTGGATGAAAAAGAAACCCTAATTCAACAGACACTCACTGTAATGTGCTTAACTTGATAAATAGCAATGCTTATTAGACCTCCAGCATTTACTTCTGCTTAACATATTTCCTTTCTTTTACTTGGTCTTTAAAATACAGAAGAAAGGCTGAAGTTCAAGATCCTACTGTACCCTACAGCTTGTTGGTATTGCAGCCCAAACACTCTTATTGCTGTTGTACTACCATTATGTGTTATTACACCAGGTCAACAGTAAACTCAAAAATAAAAAAGCTTCAGAAGGAATAAAAAAGCAGCAGCACCATTTATGTCCCATTCCTGTAATGAACTGAATCAAATTCCACTTACCAACACTGGCTCTAGTATTTCTCAACTCTCTGCTGTATCACTCTAAGAGCTTTCTCTCTCTGGTAAGAGTCATTAAGAGACCAGACTGCTGATCACACTGGCAGAGAGCAATGCTGGAGCTCTTTGGGTACGTCACCACATTCGCTATGTTGCCTAGAGCACTGCATGTAAACGCTCACATTCATAACACCAGTTTTTGTGGTTACCCATCTTAAGCTTCATTACTTAACATGAAAAAAAAAATTGGTATTTATGAGTACTATGTTCTAAGGAAATCACAGACTACATGATACAAAAATAGACAAAATATTCCTATCTGTGGCTAAAAAAAAAAAAACAAAAAAAAAACAAAAAAACAGCCATATACAGCAGTTCCATCAGCTTCAGCAGCTGACACACAGGCACAGATAGACAATCAGAGGTCACCTGAGACACAAAAGAGATGTATTGAAAACGCATTTGGCAATACACTACTCATAAGATGAACTCTGTCACACTAGAAGTCTCCCCTAATTTTTTTTAAGCCAACTTGTTGACAATTCTAAAATGCAGAAAACAAACACTGTGGCACAATGGGCCTGTAACACTCAACTTTTTTAGTCATATTAATTTTGTTCTTAGCAGCATGACATTCTCAGGAGAGAAATTAGTTTCACAGTGGCAGAAAATATGTATTAAGACACCAAACCATGAGTGTCTACATAAAAATAGCTGTTCTATTTTTAATACGACAATAGAAGTAAACAGAAAGAGAACAGCCTAGACACCCCATATGAGCTCCTCAAACCATTGCTCTGAAGCCTCCAGTGTAATTAAAATTTCCTTTCTTTGGTACCACGATGGACCACGTGAAGCAATCAGGCATCTCCCACCCTTCATTTTCAATTCACCTCTCCCCCTAAGCACAACTCCCAGCCCACCCCATCTACCTGACAAGTGACAGCCCAATCTGATTAAATGCTTGCAAGGGAGGGGACTCATGGGCCTCCATGACAGGCCAAAAGTGATCACCATGGAGATACATAATTACAGCTGTCAACGCGTCTACTGTCCTGCTGGCATCAATTTGATTGCTCCCAGCAATAATGATAGACAAAGCTTAGTGTGCACTCTCCTGCACCCAATCACTTTATCTATTCCGTGGTCCATTTAGCTGACATGCAACATTCACACAAGCAAATAACAGCAGTAAGCAGAACATTTAAGGCATTTTAATTGTTTTTTCTTTGTACGGATGGCTCACAAGCGCAAATGTTATTACATAAAACTCCTGCTGCAGCATTAATTGAAGAAAGATTTGGTGGGGCAAAGACTGTAGGGGGTATAGTTTGTCCATTATCACTTGTACTTTCAACAGGTCTCACGTTTGGAAAATTGCAAATTGCAAAAACTTGCAAGGGCAAAATATTTGACATCCTGTTAGCTATTACAACATGGTGAAAACTTCTAACAACCACTGGAGTATTCATTATAAATTCTTATTAAATACACTCTTTGTTTCATTTAAAAAAAAAAAAAAAAAGTTTAGATACATGCAATGATACCTTTTCCCCTCATCTCCTCTTTAAGATCACATAATACCTTTTAGATCTTCACAATTTTTTTCTGCTTTCAGGCTTTGAACACAGCATGAAGCCTTAAAGACCAGAAAGGGTCAGGTCCCTTCGGAAAGTACACGGGCAAAAACAATTTAAGAAGCAAAATAAATCATATATCCAATAACATCTCCACATTTAAGATTCCTCCTGTAATCTTTCACTCTTTTCCACACACGCAGACTGAATAATCGTATTCACAGATGGTAGGTACAGCTTCATCATTCCACTAACTGACCCAGTGCCATGTATATGTGCACTTCTGACTTAAGACTACCTGGATTTTGCAGAAAGGCAGCATCCTTGCTCTTTACATGTAGCAGAAAACAGCATTTGTTAAACAGCCATTTCATATAGTTAGACTGTATCCTGAAACGTGTAATAATCACTGTAACAAATTGCCTCTTCAAAGTCTACAAAGCCAAACAGAATGCACTGGTGTCCTCAGTTCTCTGTGCTTAAAGAGCTGACTCAACATCTCACTGTCCTTTCTAACCACCACGGTGTTTTTACTAAAGCTGTGTTTGAAGAATTTAAGCTGAAAGTTATAGAACCTAACAAAATATTAAAGCATATAATGGTTTCCTGTTATACCCAATGTGAATATTTTAAATCCAGTTTACAACTGTGTATTTTAAAGCAGTTTTCCAGATTGCACAAATAAATATTGCCATGCTTTGTCCCCACCCCCAGCCAAAAAGCTGGAAAAAAGCTCTGATTTAAAAAGCTGTCAAGACTTACATTCTCTATCTATAGGAAACTCAGCACCTATGAAAACCAGAACTAAGTTACTTACACTTGGCACGTGCAATGGTTCCTGATACTGAGACAGTTTACCAATGGATGGCAGGCCAAAAGATTTGTAGGGGTCCTGAAATAAAATTCAACATGAGAAAGTATTAACCTTTTACAGTTGGAGAGATAATAACATTTTAAAAAGCTTGAAGTATAACAGAAACCACTGCTGGAATAACTTTGTCTTTTCCCCAGAACTACTTCTGTTGAAGCACATTTCTTCATCCACCTACCCCTGCAACTCCAGATAAAAAAAAAATGAACCATATAAATTCTCTTGTGCCACAGTCAAAAAGCAGGAAAGAAGTGCTCTGTGCATAGCTACAGTACTCCACCAAAATACCCAGGGATGACATTTTGATTTGCTACATTGTGCCTTTGAAGAAAGATGGGAAAGTATTCGGAAAAAAAATTCAGAGACAAAAAGGGCAGTTAGAAATTCAGTTATCTTAATAAATCAAACTGACGTTTATGCCATTATGTAGGAAATCTTCTACATAATGCAATACCAATATAAACTTAATAGAACAGCAAATAAATATATATCCTACAAAATAAAATTTATGGCAAAGACATTGGATCCATTACTTATAAATGTGAGGGAATCTAAGTTGGACCAAAAAAAAGCCCAAGCATCAGTTATTCCAGGATAAAACCTACTCATACTCAGAACAGCATTCATGTTAATCACAGGGCAAATATTTATTCTTTATCCAAAGAGTTCATATAACTTGCAATCAGTAGAGAATGTTGGAGATTATGTGAATGTCATGAAGAGAAAAACATAATATAGCAAGATGCTCTGGGTCACAAAAGCTGCAATAGTTAAGTGAAGCAAAAAATATCAAGGTGCTGAATTACTTCTGAAATTCTTTTACCTAAAATGTTCCTAAAACAAAATGAAGGAAGCTAGGCATCATTTTTAATCAACGAACCTTGATTTTCATGTGTCAAAAGTGACAGCAAAAAGATGTTAGCATGAGGTGTCCTAAACATTCTTGAAAATGGGGTTTATATGCTACTAAACTTCTTTAAGCTGAGACAGAAAGCCAAGTTATTGTCTTGGAATGCACTTTGAAAGTTTGTACTATGAACTGTAGTTTCAGAAGATATGTAACTGGCTTTTTCCTTTTAAAATGTTTTAGTACAAAAACAATCCTGTAAGCCATTGAATTTCAACAGTCTTTTTAAGTCAGCAAGTTTCACATGTAGCTAAGTTGAGAAACCTGGAAACGATAGTTAACTGCAGCAAAACTCCAGCATTGCATCATTAAATGTGAACAGAACAGATAGCAAACGTCCTTCAAGAAAAAACCTGTGTTACCTCTTTTAGCACTGTTAATTTTGATTTTTGGAAAATAAAAAAAAAAAGCTATGTTGAAATACATACTGTATTTGTAATTAAAAAACAAGAATTCTGCAAAAGCTCATGAACCATTTGTGTTACATACTCTCAACTGTGACTTCCACGTGATATTCCTTGACTTCACCTTGGCATCTACCCACACCTGGGTTTTACCACTCCAGAACTGAACCACCTACCCTCCGCCCCATTACCACTCATTTACCTCAGCATAAACTCGACATTCAACCGCCCAGCCGTTGATGGGAATATCAGCCTGCTTGTGCCTGAGAGGGTAACCCTTAGCAACACGGATCATTTCTTGGACTAAGTCCAGCCCAGTAATGCATTCTGTGACGGGATGTTCAACCTGCAAGGTCAAGAACTGTCAGTCAGTAGGTAACAAAAACAACAACAAAAAATCCCTCGCAGTAACACACACAGACAAACAATAAATTAGAGTACCAAAGAACAGACAAATAATATGTTCCCATCTTGATCCTTGTCCCAAAAAAAATTCTACTTGAAATGTCCAAGTCCAGCAACCACCTTCTCTGCAGAGAAACCACCTCCATCCCTGCCATCCCTCACAAGAAAAAAAAGAAAAAAATTAGCAGATTACCATAACTTGGAGCAGCCTACAAAAGGAAAACTATAGAGAACACCTAGGAGGGTCCGGGGATGAGTTTTTGTCATTTATTTTATAAACTCAAGTGCACTTGGTGACGATGAGTTCATTTTTCTTTGTTTGAAAGCTTTTGCCATTAGATCTTGTTTTGAAAAGACTCGCGCCATAGCCATAAATACATTTTCACTGAAAATCTCCAAGTAGTTGATAATCAACCCGTTCTGCTACACTTCACATGGCACGTACAGGAGCCGCTTACAATTTTCCATAGCTAGCCTACCCTAAATCTCACCCATTCGCCTGCTTTCACTAACCTGTCCTGACAAGCAACCAGATTAGCGTAATCTTCCATCAGCGCAGTGTAGCAGAAATGAGCAGATGGATCCTTCAATTTTTTTTTTTTTCTCCCCCCTCCAGACAGATCTGTTGGGTGCTTAGCATGCACAATAGCTGGGCTGGACCAGCAGAGTCACTCTGTGCTCTCAGCAAATTGCTGCCGAGGGCCCCGGGCGAGGCTGCCACGGGAATACTCGTCACCCGCACTAGCCCCAGCCTGTGCGTACAAGCATGCGCACACATGCACAGGCACACACGTTCTTCTTTGAGATGGGGATACAAATGGACACCTTTATTAACTTTAAAAAAAGTCTTAAACTAGGCATAGTACAGTAAAAAAGCATCCAAGGATAGGAGGGGGTATCACAGAGAGAAGTAAAAGACAGGCGCCCTAAAAGCAGGTTCCTTGCACAGAGACAGCTGTAAGACTTCCCATAGAAAAAATAGGAGAACTGCCATTTTTACTACAAAATGTGTTCCAAAAGGCCAAAATACCTTAAGAAAGTGCACTTTGCAATGGTTTCTCTTATCATAGGATGTCACACCAGGTACACTTTGTGACATAGAAAAAGGGCAGTGACCAAAGAACTTGTCCCTCTTCCTTTAAGTACATGAGTATTAAGGTAAACATTCAACCATTATAATGATCTAGCAGCTTATCAGAGCAAGAATATGCTTTGGTCCTTAAGAAAAAAGCTTTGTAAAAATAAACAGATGGCATCCATAATTAGCCTTGTTTGTGCTGTGAGTTTGTTTAGAGTTTCAACAACATTTTAAGACATTTTGACATAATTTTAATGACAAATCATCACTGAAACAAGCACCCATTCTTTGAAGGATAAAAGTGACATTGAAATGGGAATCTGATTATACAGTTTAAGGATGTACCTTTGGGATTCCATCTTGATTCTACCTAACATAATATTCTCCATCATGTCAAACTTAATAACAGTATTTGTGGAATCCTTAAAATATCTCGGTGTCTATCCTGCAGTGTTAAATTGAAGCAATTCGATTTCTATTAAGACTTATTCAAGTTTCTATTAAAATTCCCTAAGTTTTAATAGAAAGTGACTTGGCACACATTCATATTTGGACAACAAAACTTTTTCTCTATTTGAGAGTTTAAGTTTTAAAAAATTACCTTCAGGTTTAGAACACATTTGGAAACCTAACATCCCACATAACTAAAATATGGGGAGAGGGAAGGTTGTTTTGGTGGTTTGGAGGGGGGTTGAGGTTTTTTTTTTTAGCAAAGACATTGGCATTTAGTTATACTGTCATTTTTCTTGGATAGCAATTGGCATTCCAGACTCAATAGCTTCATTGTTGTTTGCAGCTTTGTTTATGATCAAAATAGGATGGAATGTTTCTGAAAAGAAAAATATTTTCGTTGTTTGGTTCTTACGACTCACAAACATTTATTTAATCCATTCTTCAATACAGATCTTTGACTTGGTCAATATTTTCTTCTGTTTCTTCAAAATACTCCCTTTGTGTCTGCACACAAAACAGCATTCAGAAAATATGATGAGGAAAATTTTTTGAGTTTTTTTTTTTGGGGTGGAGAGAAGTTGTTCTGCTTTCTTTTAGGACTGTGCTTCAACTAGTGCTGTTTAGGCGTAATGTGGACAGTACCAATCATATAACTGATTTTGAAGTACCATTCAAAATGCATTTTAGAATACATTAAGACCACCAGGTGACCAAAACGGGATACAAAACAATTTTAACCTTGAAATCCTAGTTGACTTACTTGTAACTTGCACCTTTCAGTGAGGTGCACAGTTCAAACTGCATTTGTTTTAGCCCTTAGTGCTTTCTTTCGGCTAGGGGAGGGCAGGAGGGGATCAGTATTTTTTTAGCATTATACAGAATATGTTTCAGCATACACTACAAAAGGAACTAACAAAGTGGTAATGCCATATCCTGGTTCATCAAGCACCCTGCAATGAGGCTTTGGAGGTGCATAAGTCCACCCACAGAGAGATAAATGCAGGATCTGAAATTAGAGCTCTAATCTTTTACAAAGCAAGGATGGACAGGCAGTACGAGAAGTGAAGAAATTAGACCCCTCTCCTCCTTTCCCTCCCCCAAAAAAAAGACAGACACAGACATCATCATTCCCTACTTATGAAAGCTCTACAGTAACTATTGCAGCTATTTGACTAAGGTAATTGTTGTATCTATTTTTATATCACTATTAAAAGTTAGGCTTTAATCACCTTCCTCTTCTCAGCTTTCTACTTCTTTCTACAAAACAACATATCACTCTTGTTTTGCCTCTCTGTTTTCTTTTATTAATTTTATGCGATACTTCTCCATCAATAGACTTTACTTATCACTTTATGGATGCAAAGTCAAGGTCTAAATTTAAGAGATGAATCACACTCATTTCATCACCTCTGAGCTCTCGGCCATACTCAATTTTGCAGCCAGCTGACCCACGATCTTGCCAGTGAAGCCCGAGTCAATAAGGAAAGAGCCAACGGTGGCATGGTTACATCATAGTGGGTAGATTCACACATTACCTCTGTCCTTAACACAAAGGGCAAAACCAGACATGCCTGCAGCAAGCAATCTACAGATCATAGCTGTATCAAGGCAGCTGTACCTTATTCTCAACAGGACAAGCAGAAAAATTGATCAGCAATAGCTCTGGATTAGTCAGCTGCCAAAAGTATCTCCTCTACTACACACCCCTTCCTTTTACCATGTCTGTTCATAAACAATTCACAAGTCATCATTTCAATGCACTTAAGTATGATATATACCTCCTTATAAAAGTCTTCCTCCCCACTTCTTGGGACACACACACCTCTTTCTCTGAAAAATGCCATATAAAATCCTGCTTTCAAGTCCATGCCTACTATGGCCAGCAAAATCCATATGGGGTAAAGTGTTTCCCCTTCATACTGGATCTGTTCTTCATGCACCTGACAGCAATCAGGTTCCCTGGGAGCACTGCAAGTGATTTTGCTTCCCGGCCTCTTCCAGTTTATACAGCAAGAGACACTAGTGGCAAAGCCTGTATGAAAATAATAACTGAGTCCCAGTTTACAGATGGTGAAGTAGGTAAAAAAGAGCAAGAGGAACACACCAGCACTGCAGCCCAGTTAGTATCCATTCCCAGAACAATACACAGAGGCTGTAATCCTCCTGTTGTGTGACTGCCAATGGTCTTAAAGCTTTATCATACTGGGGCTCATCCACAGCTACAAAAACAGTCACACAGTTTTTATGAGCATTTGGAGCTAAGAGTTAAATTAGCAATGACTGCTCCCCTTGTATTCAGAGGAATAACTTCAGGACACGTTTTTCTCAAGACCATCAAGGTACTCAGATATAATAGCAAACACTTCTGGATACTCTCACAGATTGCTCTCTTGCCCCTGTGTGCATAAAGCATCAAGTTACTCACACACCAGTTGGAACACTCAAGGAGACCACAGCAGCCAAGAAAACCTAAGTTTCAGTAGACTTAAAACTACAGCCAATGTCACCCCTACTACTGTAAGTCCCTAGTTGGTGTCATATACTCCTTTACATTCAGATAAATAATCTCAAAACTAACTTTCAACATACACCTTGGTTTCCAGGAAACATGATTCACCTGGAGTCCCACAGGCTTTTCTGCTGCAGCCAAATCCAGTATCAACTGACCCAAACACACCAACTTACAGATGCCCAACCTCCTTTATTCAGCAAGCCTGGTTTCTGTTTCACAAAACTGAACAGCAACAGAGGAGCACACATGTTCTGCTCTTCAGGCATGCCAGCTTCCTGACTGCTATGAACAAGAGCACTCTGGGGTCACACCTCCTTTCTGTAAAATAGTTCACGTGTATATGGGGTTTGAGAGCACAGAGTAAAAAACAGCTTTTTGGAAAGACTGATGGAGAACAGAATGGTTGGATTAGTGTACAGAAGGAACAGAAAGCATACAGGAATATAAACAGGCAGTCTCCTATCCTGTCCTTTTCTATAGACATAGTATATAATAAGTTGCTGTTTATTTTCTGATTTACTAGTATGTGAGCAAAGAACTAGTAACACCACTTCCCATCAACAGAAGTTTCTATCAACTTAGATGCTCAGGTAGACTTAGATGCTCTTTTACTGTTTCCTAAGTAAGATGTTGCAGAAATAAAAACTAATGGACAGACATTTGGTACCAACCAAACATTTTAATCATAGCATATAACAACTTTGAAAAAACATTTACTCTACTTCCTCATAGGAAGTTATCTCCCAATAATTGTTGATTCAATTTTCTCAATTTTTTTATTTGCAAGGATGTGTTTATTGCACCGGATAGTCATGGGTAAAAAAATAACTTATTGTAGCCTACAAATACTGAATCTGTCTTTTCTGTGTTTTAAACAAACAGCACTCTTCATATCAGC